GTGAAACACTAAAGTTATAATAATATGTTTTATTTTTTAAATAAACAAATATTATTTTAATTGTAATACAATAAACGCACAATATATAAAGAATTATTATTTTATTTTCTCTATATATACTGCATGTTCATATTGTATGTACATTTTAATTATGCAACAATATATATTATTTTAATTATAACACAAAATAAACATACAATAAACAATTATATTATTTTATTGTATGCATATATATTGTAAGTATATTTTAATAATACAATACAATATATTATTTTAATTATAACACAATAAACAATTATTATTTTATTCCATGTATATTGCACGTATAAATTGTATGTATATTTTAATTATGCAACAATATATATTATTTTAATTTTAACACAGTAAACGTACAATAAACAATTATATTATTTTATTGTATGCATATATATTGTAAGTATATTTTAATAATACTATAAAATATATTATTTTAATTATAACACAATAAACAATTATTATTTTATTCTATGTATATTGCACGTATAAATTGTATGTATATATTGTATATATATTTTAATTATGCAACAATATATTATTTTATTATATGCACATATATTGTAAGTATATTTAAATAATACAACAATATATATTATTATAATTATAAGTCAATAAATATTGACAAACTTTTATATAGTTCACCCTAATAATACTATTGCATATAATCTATTAATCAAATCTAATGAATATATTAATTATTAATAAATAAAATATGAATTTTTTCATGTATCCTGATGAATTGATGAATGATTTGATGAATAATAAATAATTGAAAAATTATACTTACAGCAAACCAATGATCCTTTCCACACATTCTCGAATGTACCCAAGTTTGTTTGTAATATCTTGCTAAAAGTATAGCAACAGAGGTTGTACCCATCCATGCTACGATCATTAAGGAACCATGAATATGAATCAACATATTATTCGACACCGTGAATGAACCAACGTCGGACAACAATTTTGCTTCTCCTGTGGAATCACGAAGTAGGTCGTGATATCCAATACCGTTGGCTACAACATCAAACAAACAAACAAACAAACTAACTAACAAAGTAACTTAACACACAATACAAGTCTAGGGAAGAATGGGATACTCAACACAAATTGTTAAGAACACGACACACACATAGACGCGTGTTTAGGATGAATCCAAATTTCGTTTCGTTTGATTGTATTGAAATTTAACTTCGAAACTGCATGATTGTTTATTTGTTTTTCTTTTTAAAATTTAATAGAGTAATATATTAATAATTAAAAACTGTACGAACACACATTTGTGGTTCAATCCTAATTTTAATTATAATTATTAATATAATTATTATTTTGTCGTGTCAAATTATTGTTTAATGGCATGTTTTGATAGAAGAAAAAATTCAATAATGTACCTCCCAATTCGGCACCTTGAGCTAACAAAAGATAATATGGCTTATTGACGAGATCAAATTTGTGACCTTGGGCTACGGTTATCTTGTCTCTCCAAAATTTGCAATTTATTTGATCACCGATCGACGAGGCCGATTCCAATTGTACCGAACCTTGTTGCTGTAAAATTAAAAAAAAGAAACAATAAAAAAAAACTAAACAAATGTCATAACATAGTAAAAAATCAAATGTAACGTTCATGACAATAATATTTATGTACGTGTACGCGTAAGAAACAAACAAAAAATGTTGTCAAAATTAATTTTAAACCGTGTTATATTAATTTCGTGGATATATTAATTAAACGGCAGAACGGCGTATATAAATGAAGATTATTAATTATGGTAAAATAATTACCAATCTGTGTCGCTCGTTACGCTTGTTAGGAGTATTCCATGACGTGTATAATTTGATATCATTTCCATCGTTTGTACATTCCACCACACTGTCGTCATCCTATACGTGTAATAAATAAAATAAAACGTATTTTTTATTGAGTTTGTATGGGTATACACGAAAGTGTATGTGTGTGTGGTTTTTTGTTCCAACAAATCCAATGTGGAGGGAACAGGAACGAAAACATAAAAAAAAAAAATTTATCAGACAAATAATTTTTTATACGGTGACTCACTTGCAGTATTTTAACACATTTGCCATGAAATACTTTATTAATTATAAATATATTATAGAACACTCATACTGACATATTATTATCATTGGATGGATGTATGACTCTTTATATTATACATGTATAGTTTCAAACAAATTAAAATATATATAAATAATTATAATTTATTTTTTACAAACGTAATGATTGATGAAACCACAAAAGAATTTGGGCACATAGAAATAAAGTTAAGAATAAATGAAAACAAAGGTTTTTCTGGTACTAATTGTAAATCTGTATAATCTAGAGAGTCATATGTTCTTCCATTCAATGTTAATATTATATTGGTAAGTGTTTTATAATATATTTATAATAATTAATAAAGTATTTTATGGCAAATGTTCAAATACTGCAAGTGAATCACTGTGTGTGTATATATATCAATTTATAAAGAAATTTACTAGAATTCTTTTTAATTATATGAAAATCAATTTACAAAGAAATAAACTAAAACTCTTTCAAATATATATACAGGGTGTCCCACATAACTCTAGTCACGATTTTCCTCCTGTGAATGTACTTTTAATATTTTTTATACTTACAGCAAGCAAATTTTAATGATTTTCATATTAAATTAAAGTACACTCTTTTTTCTACGCGTAGAATACTTTGTATTTGGTATGTAAATTTCAGAAAATGTTAGAGAATGCAATCCTGTAAATTGTACAGCTTTGCCATTTCTTTGAACAGTTTTGGTAAAAATTTTTTATACTAAAAGTGAATAGATTTTAATGAAACTTATATTAAATTAAAGTTAACTCTTTTCTCTACGCGTAGAATACTTTGTATTTGATATGTAAAGTTCAAAAAATGTCAGAGAATGCAATATTGTAAATTGTACAGCTTTGCCATTTCTTTGTACAGTTTTGGTAAAAATTTTGTATACTAAAAGTGAATAGATTTTAATGAAACTTGTATTAAATTAAAGTTCACTCTTTTCTCTACACGTAGAATACTTTTTATTTGGTATGTAAATTTCAGAAAATGTCAGAGAATGCAATCTTGTAAATTGTACAGCTTTGCCATTTCTTTGTACAGTTTTGGTAAAAATTTTTTATACTAAAAGTGAATAGATTTTAATGAAACTTAAATTAAATTAAATTATACTCTTTTGTTTAAGCGTAGAACACCATATCAAGTTATAAATTTAGAATGTAAAGTTCAGAATATGTCAGAGAATGCAATGCTGTAAATTGTGCATCTTTGCAATTTCTTTGAAAAGTTTTGGCAAATATTTTTTATACTTTTAGCAAGCTGATCTTAATGATTTTTATATTAAATTAAAGTACACTGTTTTGTCTACGCGTAGAACACCATATCGAGTTATAAATTTAGCATAAAAACTTCATTAAATGTCAGAGAATGCAATGCTGTAAATTGTGCATCTTTGCAATTTCTTTGAAAAGTTTTGGTAAATATTTTTTATACTTTTAGCAAGCTGATCTTAATGATTTTTATATTAAATTAAAGTGCACACTTTTGGCTTTATAATATGTATATATATTGTATAAAATTGATGTTCCAATTGTTTGGTTTTTCATTTTCAAAATGAATTTCACAATTACCATTTTATTATTTTCTGATAATCCAACTGCCACATATTTTCCTTCCCTTCCTTGCATCTCAAAAAGATATCTGTCTCCACGTACTAACACAGATACAGCAATTTTACAATTCTTTGTTTGTAGACAACCGTCAGGCAATCCGAAACAATTCTTTGTTTCACTGCATCCTTCATAAAATGGATCATCTTCATTATCATCCTGTAAGATATTTATCTATGAAGTATACAACTACACTTATACTAATTAAAAAAATCAAAAATGCAAATAATATGATGATCTTAATACAAATACAAGAACGTTGTTTTATTTTTCATTTCTTTTTTATGTCATGCAGCTTACTACCCCAGTCCCCATGCATTATAATTATTATTATTATTATTAGAATTAGAATATTTTTTGTCTCGTTGCATCCTATAAAATATTAATCATCAATGAATCATACTATACCTAAACTTTATCAAGTTAATACAAAAAACTATACTATAATATCATTTTCCAAACTAATTAAAGGGATAAAAAATGCAAAATTATGATAATCCTAATTGAAAGAGAATGTCAATTTTATTTTTCATTTTTTTATATAGTAAATCATGCAACTTACTACCCCAGCCCTCCCCCAATGGATTATTATTATCATTATTATTCAAGAACCTATTAAATTATTTTGATTCGTTTGAAAAAAAACTTAAAAAATTGAAATACTCGTTAATATTTCTAAAAAAGATATTCAATCTTATTTTAAATTACTTTACAACGGGTATATAATATAAGCAAACAAAGATAAGCATTTCGTTTCATTATTATCATCATCATCATCATCATAATAATAATAATTGTCATCTGGAATGAATAATATTCTCTCAAAGCTAATAATAAAGTTTTACAAGTAATCTTAGACTTTAGTTAGGATCAGCTGATTGAAGAGAATGCATCGCATGAACGGATTAGAAACGTTTGGATAAACCCAAAGAGACAATCGGCAAACTTTCTGCTATACATATACATATATATATATGTATACAAGGATAGAACAAACTGTTCTATAATTCTACTTCGTTTAATCCACTATCTCTTACTATTACAAAGTAAAATAGGAAAAGTGGATGGTAGGAAAGATAGTATGAAAGCCAAACGAAGGTAAATACAATGAAGTGGAGGGGGTATGGGGGTGGGTGGGAGGTGAGGAGGGTTAGGATGCTAATACTAAAAGATAATAATAACAAAGAACGAGTAGGAAACATCGACATAAATTATGCAAGCACAAATAGGCTATCTTCTATCCACCCCCTACCCCCAATCTTTTTTTTTTCTTTTAAGATACAATGCAAAATGATAAATAAGTATATGTAGACATAATAAATCCAGGATTGTTGATACCTGTATTCCCTTTCTCTCTCTCTTTCTCTCTCGTAGTTATTTAATTTGAACTCATCATTTTCATTATATATTTTTCGTGTTTTTATACCCTCCGGGACTATCACTGAAAAAGTATAAAAATGGAAAACTTGGATTCACCCCCTGAGACAACTCATAAAACGATTTAACTAACCACTCGTGTTGGTTAAATATGTTTAAACGCTACTTCAAATTTTTTTTATTAACATTTAAACTGTGTTATTGTTGTTGTTGTTATTATTTTTATATTATAAATATTAATTAAGTAATTATTATTATTATTAGATTTTTT